ACCGCGATGTCGGCAGTTTTGACCGCTGGATCGACGAGCGGGCCGAAACCATCTCTCGGAGACACCAATTTTAGTCAGCCCATGACACAGAAAGATACTTTGTTTTTACGAGACCCAGCTGTGGCGGCCATTCTGAAGGAACTGGTTGTTGTTTATGTTGTACCCAGAGTATCTTAAGCCCAAGTTAAACTTGCCAACAACTATGTCCAACGTCTGACCGCAGGCCGCCCCAAACGTATTTTGTCGTATTCTCCTCAACTGTTTGAATACAACGCTGACATGTGGACTGTATCTACCATTGCATTTGTGTGTGTTTCGTTTTACGATGCAGTTTAGCAGTATTCCAGCAACATCACGACTGGGGACACCAGAAATGGGTTTCACAAATTGTACTCATGTGGGGAATCAAACTCGCGTCTTCAACGTGACGAGCGAACCCTTTAACCTCCATGCTATTCACCGCCCACCATTGTATTTGTACCACCACACTATTATATACCGCCATTGTAGTTAATATACTTTACATTAAAGTAATTTGTAATGATTTGTAAACGGAATTTTGAATACAATTGTGTAACGTTGTTGGTATTTATTTTGTTGGTTTCACGATAAATTCTTTGGGGACGTGTTTCTGGTTAACACATTGTTTCAACGTTGTAATCGACAGATAACCGTACATATAGAAGTAACCAAGGCGGACCGAACACAGACCAAACATTTCTTACTGATAATTTGAAAATGTAAAGGGAAAATGGCTTCCACGAATGTGACTAGTAGGTTTAAAATAGAAAATGCTGATGTTTTACTTTCAGTTTATCAGAAAGTAAAGCTTGCCTTTGTGGTGCTCTGATGGAAGATGACAATCATTTCTTTTTAAAATGTCCAAAGTATGTCAGCTGTCAGCTTTGATAAAAGGCTTTGAGATCCTAAAAGTTAGTTTAGATATTAACACCATTCAGTACGGCAGCCTTAGTCTGCCACAATCTATAAAAGAAAATATTTTTAGTCAAGTCCATAAATTCATTGTACTATATGTAATTGTCGGGAGCGGGCTTTAATAAGTTGAATAACTTGTGCCCAATCTCTTTCAATACTGAATGAAATATGTTCAAACAATAAAATAGAGAAACAGTGACCTTATATTGTGTGTAGCGGAAACATCGTTCTAAACAGTACCTAATTAATTTATCTGTGGAGGGAAATGGTTATACACTAACGGATGTCGAATGTAGAATGTGATGTAACGAGTTGTAAGATTTGTACAGGTAGCTCTGTTAATCTGAACACATTCCCTGATTACTTGTGATGGTTTATGTATTCTCCTCGCCTCCACCAACCATGAACAGACAAGGTTATGTTAATGTATTGCTTTGGAAATATCAAAGGTTCAACGTATTGGCAAAGGTAGTTTTGTAACATTACACGAACCAAGGGGAAAGGTCATGGATGTCTGTATCTGTGGTGTGAGGAACAATGCGAGTGAGTGAATCTAGTTTTACTCCGCGTTTAGCAAATATTTGATTTGTTTGCCATTAATTTCTGAATATTCCCTATGATGTATATAGTGGTATATATGGTCTTTTTTACATATGTAATGTTAGTAGTGGGTGAGTTTAGTTTTACGCCACTTTTAGCAATATTCCAGCAATATCAAGGTGAGGGACACCAGAAATGGGCTTCACACATTGTACTCATGTGTGGAATCGAACGCTGGTCTTTGGCGTTAACCACTAGACTATCCCCGTCTGTAATATGAGTGGGATATGTACAGCATTATCCTTAAATACATGTTTGACTTGTGAGTACACAGACACTTCAGTGTTTAGAGTGACAAAAAACTCTAATCTATATAGCCAGTTTAAAGATAGGCGTGGACTTTTGGTACGTGTAACAGTGGCGGAAGTGCTTTAGCTGTTACTAACACGTGTCGTGTCCGGCCTCTTGGCATTCTGGAATGTCCAGTTCCAGGAGAAATACCATGTGTGATGGTTTAACACGAATGCTGTAACCCTGATCAGGGGAGTCTGGAGCTAAATTTCGTTTGTTGCTCTTTGAATTAGAGAAAGAGCGAGCTTGGCTGTATCTCAAAAGTTATGACACTATAAAGACTCTCACTAGAGTGAGTGAGCTTAGTTTTTCGCCGCACTCTGCAATATTCCAACTATATGGCGGCGGTCTGTAAATAATCGAGTCTGAACCAGACAATCCAGTGATCAACATCATGAGCATCGATATAAGATGATATGTGTCAACCACGTCAGCGAGCCTGATCACCCGATCCCGTTAGTCGCCTCTTACGACTAGCAAGGGTATGCCGACAGATCAATTCTAACCCGGATCTTCACAACGAATACAGTAGCCTGGAACGTACTAGTACAGATAGAAACGTGAACTATTTACGATATTGCCTGCGAACGAGTATTTTGTTCTCTTTTGATGGGTTTTGGGTGACACAACGTTCAAGTGTTCATGGTAGAAAGTTCTTGCAATTCTAATTTTGTCTGCACTTGTCTGTCACAATTCAGTTTTTATATTCGTATCTTCCACATTCCGGTTATGTCATTAGTTTTTTAATTTAATTTTTACTAAAACTGATATATGAATCATACTTGTTAGCTGCGACAGATGACCCCTGCTAGTAATTAAACCAGTATTTTTTTCTGAATGTGTCTGTGTTGAATTTGAATTCAAGGAATTTTCTGGTCTATTTGTAAAAGTATTCTGGAAGGTCGATGGGACAAATGACTAAAGGAATGCAAAGCCCATGCATATCTGTTTGTTCTTCAAACAATTGTTTGCAGCATGTCACGTTTGGTCTGCTTCATCTTAACGTTACCGATAAGATGTTAGTGGTTCAGTTTTAGTTTAAAACACTGAAATGCGTGCCCTTTTTCAGAACGTTTGCCGCAACTATTGGAGGTACCTAAGTGAGTGAGTGAGCTAGCTTGGTTTTACGCCGCTTTTAGCATTATTCCAGCAATATCACGGCGGGGGACACCAGAAATGGGCTTCACACATTGTACCCATGTGGGGATTCGAACCCGGGTCTTCGGCGTGACGAGCCAACGCTTTAACCACTAGGCTACCCCACCGCCCCCACTGAAAGACGGCAAAGACCATGGGTCATCTGTTTGCTTGTAACACACTGTTAAACATAGTGGGGAATGTGCCATGTTGTGGTGATGTTATTTATAAACCAAGTTGTGTAATGGTATTTTGATTTAAAAAACGATCATTCCATTGACAATGTGTTGTGAATTTCATGCAAGCGCTCACTCATGATGTATACGCAAGGATGGTCGGGGTAAACTTTGTCAGTGTGTTGCTGAAGATCTTAGTGATGAAAAGAAGATTGAAAGATGTTCGGATATTGTTTTAAACTCAAACAAAGTGCCAGTTGGTTAAAAGAATTAGCGCAGCTATCATATGGCCTGAACAAGGCAACGTGGTTCCTGTACTGTGGAGATACACAAGGTGAGGTGAGGTGAAATTGGGTTTTACGTCGTGCTTGAGAATATTTCGCTCATATGACGACGTGCATGCGTGTGTATGTGTATGTGCGGCTGCTTGTACTAGCCCAGACTTAAGCTGGTTTTATAGTGCTAGCCCACTGAGATACCATGCCGCAGTGAAGCATGAATACCCCACTCAGACACATTATACTGACTCCGAGCCGACCAGTCCTTGTTGTACCCATAAATGCCGAGCGCCAGGCAGGGACCAACAAGTACCATATGTTAACGTCTTTTGGTATGACGCGGCCGGGGATCGAACCCGCGACCTTCCGCTCTCCGGGCGGACGCTCTAACCACTACACCACGGAGGCGGTCGGAGATACACAAGGACGTAATCGCATAGTAGTAGTAAGCTGGGTGAAATGTGTAATACAAGGAGTGATTTGAAACCAGTCCTGTTCACATGGTTTTAACATCTGTCTTGATTAATTCTTCTTTGGTAAAATTGTGTTATTGATTTGTTTGCCATTTTAATGAAGACATTAAACAGTGTTGCCGTCATACGTGCCGTTGGTGCTTGGAATGAAGGTTTTCGTACTGTTCGCTTTTTTGAAATTATGCATTATAATCATTATCTGCAGGTAATTATTTCTTTTCGATTTTTCCGAACTTATTCAAGTTTGCATCAAACCAGCCATAATCCCCAAACGGGAAGGTCAAAACGGCAACAGGCAAACGTCAAAACGGCCACAACCCATGATAAAAGGGCCACACGCGTCCAAACACACAAATATAATAACAACAACACATAATATTGGATGTATTAGACATTATACAGACAAGGAATATAGCAAATAACGTTAGTGGTCGATGGTCACGCGTACAAGCTAGGTGCACAGACTTAATAATATTTTGTCAACTGTTATCTCAGCGCTGTTGATCAGTCAGTTCTTGACATCACAGCATATATATCTGTGGTGTTCAGAAGTTCAGAAGCTGGGGTGGTGTGATGTCACCTTCAAAAATCTGGTCTTGCTTGTTGGTTGCAAATTGATTTAAATGTACTTTCGGAATCGGTGGAGCTTTCCAGCTTAATGGCATTAATGCTCAATAATAATTTAGTTTGAAATGACACAAAAACAAAGCAATGTAAGGTATAATCTTAAGGATCAACGTTTACGTTTTCTTTTCTTATTGGTACATAGCCAAGTAGAACTTGTTAGTGTTACGTTATGATGTCATTTGGGCCGTTTTGATTTGAGTTTTGTGGCCATTTTATCACGAGACCGTTTTGACTGCAACCATCCAATAACAATCACCCCTATTGTTGTCAAGTTAAATACGATATGCTTCCACAAAAGGAAAACATTGTCATAAAATAACACATTCTCTAAACGGCTTTTTCCAAAGTTATGCAGAACAAGGTTTACTGAAGTAACTATTAAGTTATTATCAAATGTGGCTGAACACCTCGGTAAATCGTAACAGGAAAATAGCACTTACGCATAACTATCCGCGCATGCGCTCCTACCTAAATACCAAATCTAAAACCAAAATGTCGACATGTGCTTTGTTTGTAGTGTGGTTGACACTCAGCATAATACCTTGATCTACTATGAGTCAGGCGTTAGCTGAGCAGTACAACACCGATTATGATGTAGCCAACAACAATCAACCAGAATGGAACAAATTCCTCCCGAGGAATGGCCTGATCGGGGAACAAAACAAAGGCGAGGGTACCAATGTTTACAGTGGAACAGATACGAACGAAAAACACATTGCGGGAAATAATTTGCAAAACTCAAGTAAACAACCCGAGTCCCGTTTCAGCAACATACAAGATGGCATTGAATCATCTATTAGGTAAGTGGTTGCGCAGATCTCATCTTTTCTTCTGGATGTGTTGAGGAAGCAAAGAAGCGCTTACACATTCTTTGGCTGTCAAAGTACTTGGCAGCACATATCTGATTTGACGTTACGTTTGCTGATAGCATTGCGAGTAATCAAGGTGACATTTGGTTTTAGTGTTGATTTAATCCATGGGGGACCCTGTAAACTGTGGCTTTATTTTTAAATTGCTCAAATTTTAACTTTGCTCGTAAGTATATTTATGCCTTGCATTGTATATGCTGCAAATGGAAATGCTACCTTGAGCATCTGAACTGCTGAAGATGATGTACCAAGTAATGATTTAGACTTGATCTTCATGTTCTTGTGAGTGCACAGTGCTTATCACACATGGGAGCTTAGACTGCAGTTTGCACTGATTAGTACTGGGTACGTTTTCATACCATGTAGTGTGTTTTGGTTCTCTTTTACATGATTCAGCTACATATAGAACTGTCACTTATGTCAGCTTTGCCAACAAGATGTAAATATACAAGATTATTAAAACACAGTATGCCAGTATTTTCAGATGATATTGTTATTTACCTTCATTAGTATATCAAATCATTGTACATACATACCAATAGTACCTTGGACCTCTACTGGCTGCCGAACAGTAATCACCATATTTTAGTGGTACATGTATTTACAAAATTACCCTGCCATTCGTTAAATTAATGAAACAGAATTAATTATGATACTTAATTAGCTATTCATTGACGTGTCCAGCCCGTAAAATGCAGCCGATCGTGTTTTTATATAACACGGCGGAATGATGGCAGTAGAGATAGGTGTTCTCTCACAACTAACTGTAACAGTTATCACCATTTCAGAATTTCTCATGTCATTCCTGAAATAATATACATTTATATCCTAAAGTAACCTTGAATAATTGATTGTGTGACCAGCTGAGTGGGGTTTGTTTACAGTAGATTGATAGGGAATGAAACAATTAATGACTCTTGAGAACTTGAACTTGCTACTATATAGATCGAGTGACATCCCCCCCCCCCAATAAGTTAAAGGTTTTTTTATAGGTTCAAAGCGTTATCTTCATCATTTCACTTATGTTACTTACCATGAAGAATTTTCTTTTGCTGTCCTTTATTGTTGTCAAATACAGTGGGAATAAACCGGAACTTTGCACGCGTGATACTGATGTATTGGCAATAACTGTCATGCAGCGATAACTATTCAGCAGCCAGTACAGATTATTGCTGTTGATGCCTTGAACTGTATACTTACTGTCAAACTAATCCTTAGTAAAAAGTAACTGGCAGTATTTCAAAGTGCTACTTTTTTGGTTATGATAAAAAAATGTATGTAGCAAAAGCTTAAGCAAATGTATTGTATCGGAAGTTTGCTAAGGATAACCATTTTAGAATTTTAGAAGGTAAAATTTTGTGCATCTGAATAGCCAAAGATGATATTGCGTGAATACATGTTTAATAAGATTGTGTCAGTTTTAATGTGCCACACAACAGCGAACAACACTGTACCAGTAATCTGTCATATCACCTGTCAAAATGAGAGTATCTGATCGTAACTGTAAGGACATGGAGATCAGTTCTTCCAGCTCTACTGATCCCATTCCAAATCATGATTGAGCCCCCTCCAGAGAGGTCTGCTCCACACTTAGGCAGGACAGTCTGTGAAAGTTAGACAGTTGAAAATACTTGATGCCAGGACTGGTTTGTAAAATTGATGTGATCTCCACCCAAATCCAAACATGCCTGAATGTCAGGTCAGTGGCCAGAGATCAGTTCCTTGGTCCACTGAAATTCGACCGATTAGCACAGAACCACTCAAGCATGATTTGACGGATCGGCACTGCTGACTGTTAAAAATTCGACAGATTGGGCCGTAATCCTTACAAAGATGTTTGCTATCTGACATTGTGTTGCCCCAGTTTAGGCATGCCCATGCATCTGCCTAGTTTGTCATTTGCAAATGTCGTGGATGCTGGGGGGACATACATGCATTCATTTGTTGCAGTCGTCAGCAGCACATGTTGTGCCACGACTTACAATGAATTCAATTTTTTGTTGGATGTGTTTTTGATATGATCTTTTGTGAAACTTGTCCCAGTATAACATGATATTCAAACATATTGATTGTTTCAGTAAGTAGCATTATATGCAATTTCCTCAGTTCAATGTATCAGAAATTCATATTGTATCAAAAGAATATCATTGCAGTTATATCTTTGGGTGGTGTCTAACTGAATCACTGGTACTCAGTGGTAGAGAAAATGGGCATACAGTGGTTTTCTATTTCTGGTTTAGTTTACAAGGCAAATGCACACAGTTAACTTCATCTCTGTAAATAACTTCATGCAATATAAGTCTCCATATAAATATAAACAATTCAGTGACATCTTTTAACTGAAACAAAACTAACATAAAATAATAATACTAATATAGAATTTAACAGCCAACCTGACACTCTCGTCACGCTTGTCATGCCGAAGCTTGGCTCGGGTTCCATTCTGCACATGGGTACAACCCAACTCAATCACAGACTCCCAGATACATGCAATGGTCTCTCATACCACACACCTTCAACACAGACAATCACTCTCTACTTACCAAGCGTACCAGTGTATGAAATAAGCCAAAAATTCGGCCAGACACCAAGATATGGTGAATTTATTCACATGTATGGAATATTTTTTAAATAATTACCAGACCATCGAGCTGGCTAGCTGTAAATTTAGACCGTCCGTCAGAAATCTAGCCCGTCTTCGGGCGGTCGTACGGGCCTCATTTCATACACTGATTGTACTAATAGTGATCCTGGAGGTTGTGACGATGAAATGAAATTGTGATTTGTCAGTGAACACCAATTCGGTGACAGAGGCCAGAAAAGGCACGTGCCAGTCCCATACTGTAATTTTTGATGCACCATTTTTTGAGGTAATGTGTGTATTGGTAATGGGGCATGACTTTCCCAATTACTGTTGCGAACTGAAAATTAGGCCACTATGTTGATGGCTTGTTAAACAGTTGTAAGGGAAATAGCATTTCATTCTGCCAAACAAATATGTCAGAGCTTCTCAGGCTATACTATTTTGCAACACAATAACAGTTAACAAGCACATTGTCAGCTATCTGTATATCAGGTGTGGATTAATTTGTATCATCAATAAATGAGCGAGAAGCTGATGTTTTCCTACAACTGTTTGTGTTTTCTCATCTCCTTGCTGCTTGTATTGTGACATGGATCATCTTATATAGTTTTTGAAATGTTTATTGAACTGTCTGTGACTTAAATGTGTGTATCATTCTGGCTAACATAAAGAGTTATGGCAGTAATTTGAGTAGACTATTGCATACATATATATATATAGTCATTGTCAAATAATCAGAATAATGATTGATTTTCAAGATTTCATTTACAAACTTGAAACATTATTTTGTAAACCCTGTCCAATGTAGTGATCTGGGTTCATCGGCATAGTATGGGAATGATCATTGGTGATTAGATAAAACATTCAGATACCCAATATGTGAAATGATCATTGGTGATTAGATAAAACATCCAGATACCCAATATGTGAAATGATCATTGGTGATTAGATAAAACATCCAGATACCCAATATGTGAAATGATCATTGGTGATTAGATAAAACATCCAGATACCCAATATGTGAAATGATCATTGGTGATTAGATGAAACATCCAGATACCCAATATGTGAAATGATCATTGGTGATTAGATAAAACATCCAGATACCCAATATGTGAAATGACGAAGTTTATCTAGACTTATATCTACTGAAGTGGGTTTATGCCCGTGTGCACTACTTGAAATAAATTGTCTGTCTGTCTGTCGGTTACATACAGAAGAATTTTTTATTTTGTTTTTCACAATTATCATTGAACATGGAATGGGTTTTGTTTTCAGCTCTGAAGGCAAGGAGAGGGTGAACAGGATTCTGGTAAGTATGCCAACTTTGTGTAGTGTGTTTAGATAGCCCGATACCATTCCAGTTGGAATCTGTGTTGAATTAGTAGTTGGGAATGAATACTCCGTTGAGTTCTTGATTTGTGAGATTATAAGAGTCACAATTCCCACGATGTACAACAATACATTGTCTTAAAATGTTGCTAACGTCTGTTGTGTATATCAATAATGTTGAGACCAAACTTATATCAGTCAAAATCAAATGAGAGGCTTTTGAGCTGTTTTCATCAGTGTTGCGTGAGTGTGTGAGTGAGTGAGTATGGTTTTAAGTCGCTTTTAGCAATATTCCAGCAATATTACGGCATCGAACCCTTGTCTTCGGCGTGACGAGCAAACGCTTAAACCACTAGGCTACGACATCAGTGTTATGCCACATGAAAGTATTGGTACACCAGGACATGGTTCACACATGGTGCCTATAACAGAACCTGTGACAAGTGAACACTTCAGGCATTTGGCTATAGGGCGAGCTAAAAAGTCAATAATCAGAAATATTGTCGATGGGAAGAATTCTCAGTGATTATTGATAAGAGAAGAATGTCATCAATAGTATTTTATTTAAAGTATTGAGATGAAATCAAGTTTTAATTTGCACATGTAATACACAAAGTTACGTCTTTATTCAAAGGCTGTGTAGTAAGTTGGTTTTGTTGGTAGCCAATGAACAAATATCACCACTCACCAGTGATATAAAATATGCTCTTTTTTTGCTCAAATTTACTTCTGTGATATTGATGGATACTCAGTCGATATTCAGTTAACGATAATTGATTTCTCTGAGTTATGTTGATAGCCCTACTTAGGTAACAGCAAGCTGAGTAAATAGGATTCTTTCTTTCTAATTCTTGAAGTCTTTCCTTAAAACACATCACTTCAGCTGAGCTTTTCTCTAGACTATCAGGATTGTTTATATATATGTGCATGGCATTGGATGCATAGATACATGGACTATATGCTTAGGAAATCAATTATTATTATTATCAATATTAGTGATAAAACTTTAACATATGTGAAAACCACAAAGGCACAGCGAGACAAGTGAAAAATTTAACAAATCTTTCTTAATGGTGAATAAAACATAAATAATACAGTAGCGTATTTCTTTCATTACAAATAGCAATACAAGCAGTGCAACTGGAATTTTGCTGGTAATACTGGGTTTTATCTTAGGTTGCACCTTGAGCAAGTAGGTTATCATCTCTTAAATTGAGCACTGGTAGTTCATTCACAGGGTAAGATTTCATCTTGTATGCATACTCCTGCTGATCCTGCTGCATGTACTTACACTCGTGCTGCCAATCTCTGCATTGTCTCGTCCAAACTTAATTATTATCAAAGCGCTATCATGTTGCTGAAATATTGCTGAGTGTTGATAAACAACAAAGTAAGATATCAAGATTTGAGGACTTGTTAGATAAGCCAATAGATCTTTAGCGAGGAAAGCATAATACTATTTATTTTTGTTGTTGTTATAGAGTGAGGTGAACAGCTTGTCCGATGTCGAGAAGTTGTTGCTTTACCTGAAGCTTCCAACCGGAGCCAGTCCTGATGACAGTCTACGCCAGTAAGGAAAATGTTTTTTCTTTAAGTTATTGTGACCATTAATATATCCTTTGAATACCTTACCTCTGTTTATTATTCCTGTATTTGGACAGTCATCACAAAGTAAAATCTCTGATTTTAAGCAAACATCCTCTTTGTTCTGCCAGCATGAGGTGACTAGGTGTTGTTACATGTACTGTAAGTCAGGCGAGTATATATCATGGCCTAGCTGTACGTTGTCTGTCGTAAATAGCTTCTCAGAAACCATTAGACCTGTTGATGCCTGACAAGCTGCCTTTCATAGATTGTGTCGATTTGTGTCTCAGAAAGTTATGAATGTGGATTCAGATCCTGTTTTGACAATGAATGTTTGTAGGTTTGTTAGTTCCTGTATTAATCAGTGTCGACAGTGTGGTGAATATTTCAGACCCATATAACACTGCTAGTTTAACTTTGGTTTTCATTATGACCATGAGGTGTTAGACCTGATATCAAAACAATGGGCTGAAAAATGGATTTCTGGTGTGGTTACTCAACATTTTTGTGAAAAATGTAAGGAAATTTGGAACACATATAGTTAGTTGTGCAGTTTAACAGAGTTGTTCTGTTCCATTACAAAATGTTGAATTATAACATTTTGTCCACCATTGTTATAATGTTCTCAAACTGCATGTTCTGAATAATTCTTCTAACCGTAATTTTGCAGACCGACAGAGCTGAACTGTAGCAAATATGTTGTTCTTATTCTTCCTGTCATTTTTCGTTCAAAATATTAGGTTTTAATGTCATTTTTGTCCTCAGTATGTGTACTGTATGGGTTATCAAGGGTTTTCATGTGAGATCAAATACAGCATCTTTGGCTTTTCCTAAGTGGACACCTTCCTGATTGCAACATGCTTGAGTCACCAGTTGTCTTTTTCTGTAGCTGTTGAAGGTGTTAAGAGGTACTTGTCACTGTCAGCAGTGTGTTGGCACACCCCCTCCGACTGAGTGCAGTCACCCTTTGCTAGATACTTGAGGAGGAACATGCAGTCAAGTGATCCCAGACAGCATTCTCTTTGCAGAGTTAATGTCCCTTGGTTGTGGAATGTCATGCTGGATGATTGATTTGCCAGTGAATCTGGCTCCTATGAGTTTAAAGTGTAGACTATACTGGCAAAAGGCCAGGTACATATGATTGTTGTGTGAGTATGTTGTCTGGACATAAGCTTATACAGCTGACATGAAACATTGAAGGTTAGTGACCATGGCTATCAGAAGAACTGGCTATCAGAAGAAATGGCCGACATTGAGCTTATGTCATGGTTTGTTTTCTGTTATCTGCCGATCTGTTGGAACAATAAAATGTATAACTGTAAACAGATTTCTGTGGATTGATTGTTTGAAGTAAATGATTTGAGTGGAAGCCATTGCTTGCAATTCAGAACCCCGACTTCCTTCCTGCACTCTTCAAACCGCATCGAGCAGGCTCAGGCGTTCACCTGGATCCGCAGTCACTTGGAGGAGGACAGTGAGATTTGTGTGCCGAAGCATGAGGTCTACGATGACTACAGGTCAGTATTCATTTACCACCAAACTTTCATACAGTACCTAATGAATTACTTGTCTTAAGTTAACTGGTGATGACCAGCTAGAACTTCATGGAATAATGTTTTTCTTATCTTTTGCAGGCTGTATTGCGAAAGTCATAATCTGAAGCCCCTGTGTCCGGCTGATTTTGGGAAGGTCATGAAATGTGTGTTTCCAAATGTCAAGCCACGTCGTCTTGGGCAGCGAGGACAATCAAAATATCCTTTGAAAACAAAAGGTTGATGTAGTAGCCATACAATTTCTGAGTCCTTTGATGGGATCCAAACCAAGAACTTTCAAGGTTAGGATGTTACATGTGGAATCCTATGCCCTGTTACACAGACAACAATATTAATGATTTTATACTGGCCTGACAGTATTTAAGTTTGTGAATCTGGATTGTTCTGAAATTGGTGAGCGAGTGAGTTTATTCTTTTTCATAGAGATTGTCCTTGGGGTACATATAAGCATTTTCTCCGGCTGAAAATGTCATGTGACAGTTGTATCAATGTTTTAATAAAAATATTGTACAATAAATAAAAATCTTTGTTATCTATTATACGGCCCCCACCATGTGGAGTTACCTCCCTGCTAGCTGAATTACTCATCTTGAGAGAAAAATAATGTCTGAGACTCCAACAACTGTATGTATGATCTTTATTCATTCTTGACAGAACAGTTTTATTGACTTTGCAGTCTGTTATTTCTCATTTATGTGACTTTGTATTAAACTTTACGCTAGCTTTCCCGTGGTTTACGCACATGTTGCTCTTCCATGGCGGGAAGTTTAGCGTGCCAAGTGGTTGTCATATTGCGTTATTAACCAAGTACTTCTTCCTGTGGTTGCTTTCACGTAATTTTCAATGTTTTGTACGTGTATATTTCTGCTGCTGGTTCCACTGTTAGTTACATGCTTGCGTGTTTGCTTTCAGGCGTTTACTGGGTGTTCTGTCTGTGGGCAGAACATTCCGAGAGCCGGTCCGAAGCCGAAGCCCGCCTTCACATCAACGTCTTGGTACTGAGAGATGTGCGGTTTGTTTTCAAGCGCTTCCGGGAGCATGTTCAGGGCCAGGTGGTTTATCTTCAGTTGGACAACCGTACGGCCATGACGTACATCCTGAAGCAAGGCGGCACGGTGTCCCTGGCGCTCCTTCAGGAGACGTGGGAATTTCTCCTCTGGTGCGACCAGTGCGACTGTCAGGTGCTTCCTGTTTATCTCCCTGAGCTGGAGAATGTGCGAGCAGACGCTCTCTCTCGTCGGATCCTGGACCTGCACGCGTGGATGCTCGACCGGCAGATATTCAGAGTTATCTCCCAGTTGTACAGATCGTTCCAGGTGGATCTGTTTGCGTCCGGCGGGACAAATCAGATACCCGTGTTCTGCTCTCGAATACCGGACAAGAGCGCGTTGGCTTCCGACGCCTTCCTGCTGGATTGGACGGGCAAAGTGCTCTGGGCGTTCCCGCCGCTACAACTCATTCCCCGGGCCCTCTCCCAGCTGTCCACCCAGCCAGCTCGGCTACTTGTGCTCCTGGCACCGCTATGGCCGTCACAGAGCTGGTTTCCGGTGATTCTCAGGTTTCTGGCTCAGCCTCCTGTTCTATTACCTTTGCGACCGGACATTCTCACTCAGATTGGCGCACCATACCCAAATCCAAGGATTCAGTGGGTGGCTTGGCCTCTGTCAGGTCTAGCCTCGAAAGCTCGCGCAATTCCTGCAGCAGTTGCAGACACAATTCTGGCTTCGAGACGGGATTCGACAAACGTTCAATATGAGGATAGGTGGTCCAGCTATGCGTGCTGGTGTTCAGATACGGGGATTGCAGATCCCTTTTCTGTGGATTTAGTCCGAGTATTGGAGTTTTTGATAGCTCGTTTTGAAGAAGGCTTGACGGCTTCGACCATTCGTGGCTACTCCACCGCTATTTCCACTTTTCACACCCCTGTCGATGGTGCTCTTCTGGTGCAGCACCCTCTTATGCAGCTCTTTTTAGCTGGCGTGGATCGGGTTCGACCTGCTGTCAGCCCACCTTTGGATTTGTCAATCATGCTATTTCTGGTGGCGGTAACATCTGGGCGAAGGGTCGGCGACTTACATGCTATGTCGGCAGACCTGGCGCTGACTGTGTTTCATCTGTTCTGCTGTTACGGTAGCGGGAAGGCTGGGATGCCGGCGAGCAGACAGTCCCTGTCTCGCTGGCTTGTATCGGTCATTTGTGCTGCTTATCAGGCAAAGGGCAAGCCTTCCCCTGAGGGGTTGAAGGCTCACCCGGTCAGGGCAGTGGCCATGTCAAAGGCTTTTGCATCGGCACTGCCCATTGAAGAGATATGCTCTGCCGTTATTTGGAGCAGGCCTAGCACTTTTATCAGGCACTATCAGCTCGATACACATTCACGTGATCGTGCGCGTTTGGGCGTTCTGTTCTCTCCAGTGGACAGTGTCCTGCCACCCTGACCAAGTGAGTCTTGGTTATCTGGACAGTTGATGCTGCTTTCAATTGAGTATTATTGATATATCCGCTGTCGTGTGATCTAACTCCTTTCTGTTCTCTCCGGAGATTATGGTCGGTTGTGAGTTGGGTTTTCCCCCTTCCGGTGCTCTCTAATAGATCATGATGTGGGCGGGTTTTTTTATTTTCGCACTGTGTGCGATTTACCTTGCTTAACCTATGAGGTTGGATCTAAGTACTTATCCTCCTGTCGGTTACCCTCCCATAATGCCTCTCGCGGATGCTTCGGGACACGTAACAGGTGAGTGTTGTGGCGTCTGTTACATTCTTTTTAAAGATCGCTATTTATGTGTACTTTGACAGAATTCCCTCCTCCCTGGCCTCCGGTCTTTGGGAGTCTGTGTTAATGCATATATGTACCCCAAGGACGATCTCTATGAAAAAGAATTAGCTAAACCTGTAGAGGTTTCCAGTTCTTTGAAGAGAGTCGTCCTTGTGGTAGGGCTGCCCACCTCCCTGCAATTCTGTTCACTGATTTATTCCGCAGAAGGAATGATGATACAGGCCTAGGTGCTTACCTAGTTGGCTGCGCATGCATAGCAGGGAGGTAACGCCACGTGGTGGGGGCCGTATAATAGATAACAAAGATTTTTATTTATTGTACAATATTTTTATTAAAACATTGATACAACTGTCACATGACATTTTCAGCCGCAGAAAATGCATATATGTACCCCAAGGATGACTCTCTTCAAAGAATTGGAAACCTCTACAGGTTTAGCTAAGTTTTATGCCGCTTCTAGCAATATTGGTGAGAGTGGCATTAGTGACTGCAGCCATATTGAAAACTCTGTTTTTACAATGACAAAAAGTCAAGTGGAAATGTCACATTGAGCCACAAAACAGCTTTTTCTGCATTTATCATCATGCAGTTTCATGTGCGGCAAGTACGTGGTAGTCAGAATCATAGCAATAGGATTCAATGCTTTTAGCTGACTGTGCATGTTTCCACCAGTGATGACACCCTATTTTGTTCAAGAGGAACAAATATGATTTTCAATTTCTCAGAAAGTACTGTGCATTATGATTGAACTTAGATATGACCTTATTATTAGTAGGGCTGGGTTCGGGTAACCTGGATACTGGGGATGGGTGGGTAAAGAGTTGGACCCCGGGTACCCATAACATTACAAGGACACGCTTTGTTTATGTGACTTATAAATGAAGAATTAATTGAATGTGTTTGTCTTTGTGCCTGATGTAATGGATTAAAAATATTTCCAGATGCTGCTTTTCATCTCAGCCATGATTGATTTTATTGAAGGGGAATAACTTGCAATGAGTATTATAAGTGCCCGGGTTGGGTCGCGTAACAGTGGGTCAGGTACCCGGGTAGGAAAGTTGGACCCGTCCCAGCCCTAATTATTAGGAAATACTTTGGAAATATTTTGGTAATAGGTGAAGGTCAGAGTTCAGGATTTAGAAGAACATGCTTGCTTCACTGTCAGTTGCTGAGGCATTGCTAGCTTTAAAGGCACAATAGTTTAGGTCTGCATGTATCTTTGTAAATCCTACCATCTAGAATGTTGCCAGAAAGTTTGTCACATATCAAGGAAATTTCTGTTTAATTGTGAAACACGATTGGCAGAGATTTAGGTAGAGATGTGTGATTTATGTGTGATTTATATCCTTAACTCTACCCACATATTGCTATAGTGGACTACGAAAGAAGCTTGAGGTGCAGCCACCATCTCTTCCAGAACTGGAGATCACGCCAAAGAAGGAAAAGGTGTATTTTTAAAACTGTTTCCTGGGGTATACTGTATAGGCTTACATCAGTGCATCAGTTGGGTGATACTTACAGTTCCTGTTGATCTCCTGGGGTAAACTGGCTTACATCAGAGCATCAGTTGGGTACTGTTGATCTCCTGGGGTAAACTGGCTTACATCATAGCATCAGTTGGGTACTGTTGATCTCCTGGGGTAAACTGGCTTACATCAGAGCATCAGTTGGGTACTGTTGATCTCCTGGGGTAAACTGGCTTACATCATAGCATCAGTTGGGTACTGTTGATCTCCTGGGGTAAACTGGCTAACATCAGAGCATCAGTTGGGTACTGTTGATCTCCTGGGGTAAACTGGCTTACATCATAGCATCAGTTTGGTACTGTTGATCTCCTGGGGTAAACTGGCTTACATCAGAGCATCAGTTTGGTACTGTTGATCTCCTGGGGTAAACTGGCTTACATCATAGCATCAGTTTGGTACATCAGTCCTGGGGTAAACTGGCTACATCAGTTGGGTTGATCTCCTGGGGTAAACTGGCTTACATCATAGCATCAGTTGGGTACTGTTGATCTCCTGGGGTAAACTGGCTTACATCAGAGCATCAGTTGGGTACTGTTGATCTCCTGGGGTAAACTGAGCTTACATCAGCATCAGTTGGGTACTGTTGATCTCCTGGGGTAAACTGGCTTACATCAGAGCATCAGTTTGGTACTGTTGATCTCCTGGGGTAAACTGGCTGTTGATCTCCTGGGGTACATCAGCATCAGTTGGGTACTGTTGATCTCCTGGGGTAAACTGATCAGAGCATCAGTTTGGTACTGTTGATCTCCTGGGGTAAACTGGCTTACATCATAGCATCAGTTGGGTACTGTTGATCTCCTGGGGTAAACTGGCTTACATCAGAGCATCAGTTGGGTACTGTTGATCTCCTGGGGTAAACTGGCTTACATCAGAGCATTGGGTAGTTTGGTACTGTTGATCTCCCTGGGGTAAACTGGCTTACACATCATAGCATCAGTTGGGTACTGTTGATCTCCTGGGGTAAACTGGCTTACATCAGAGCATCAGTTGGGTACTGTTGATCTCCTGGGGTAAACTGGCTTACATCAGAGCATCAGTTGGGTACTGTTGATCTCCTGGGGTAAACTGGCTTACATCAGAGCATCAGTTGGGTACTGTTGATCTCCTGGGGTAAACTGGCTTACATCAGAGCATCAGTTGGGTACTGTTGATCTCCTGGGGTAAACTGGCTTATCATAGAGCATCAGTTGGGTACTGTTGATCTCCTGGGGTAAACTGGCTTACATCAGAGCATCAGTTGGGTACTGTTGATCTCCTGGGGTAAACTGGCTTACATCAGAGCATCAGTTGGGTACTGTTGATCTCCTGGGGTAAACTGGCTAACATCATAGCATCAGTTGGGTACTGTTGATCTCCTGGGGTAAACTGGCTTACATCAGAGCATCAGTTGGGTACTGTTGATCTCCTGGGGTAAACTGAAGCTACATCAGAGCATCAGTTGGGTACTGTTGATCTCCTGGGGTAAACTGGCTTACATCAGAGCATCAGTTGGGTACTGTTGATCTCCTGGGGTAAACTGGCTTACATCAGAGCATCAGTTGGGTACTGTTGATCTCCTGGGGTAAACTGGCTTACATCAGAGCATCAGTTGGGTACTGTTGATCTCCTGGGTTGGTACTGTAAACTGGCCAAACTGCCTTACATCAGAGCATCAGTTGGGTACTGTTGATCTCCTGGGGTAAACTGGCTTACATCAGAGCATCAGTTGGGTACTGTTGATCTCCTGGGGTAAACTGGCTTACATCATAGCATCAGTTGGGAGATACTTACAGTATTTAAAGGTGTCTGCATGATTTGGGTTTTCCTAGGATTAGGAGATTGGGGGAAATGATGATAAAGGGTATGCTTTTACACATGCTGTTTCAGACATCTACAGTTTGTCATTTGTTTATCCTCTCTCTGTTTTAGGAAGAAAAGACTGAGGAAGATGAAGTTTACACTGCTTCACGCCAGCTTGTGTGTGAATGGGCACATAAACTTCTGGGAACAAACTTCAACAACTTACGAGAATTGGCGGAGTTTCTGGTGGGGAATCTGTATGTTAACAGTAAATCAACTGCAGCATTCACAGTGTTAGCGGCCATGCAAGATGCTGGACTTCATAATTCAAAAGGTAAATTTGTTTTTCAGTTACAGCAGTGGATTTGTTCCAGTTCTCATTCTTTATCAGAATGCATATCTGAGTTTAGTTACGCTAGTCAGGCATAGTTCATTCAGTTGCAAAATGAATAATGAAGACATTCCTTCTGTCATTCTTGCATTTGCCTATCCAGTTTCCCCCTGATAGCAATGATGAGTACCTGGCCCCATGGTACCCGTGAAGACCCGGGTTAGAATTGATCTTCAGTAACCTATGTTTGTCGTAAGAGGTGACTAACGGGATCGGGTGGTCAGGCTCACTGACTGGCTTGACACATGTCATCGTATCCCAATTAAATTGCGTAGATCGATGTTCATGCTGTTGATCCCTGGATTGTCTGGTCCAGACTCGATTATTTACAGACTGACGCCATATAACTGGAATATTGCTGAGCGTAAAACTAAACTCACTCACTCACTCACTTGGTCCCATGGAACCAGATATGGGGGACTTACAAGATGCTGACATTTTTATTTTGACATGTCTTGAATTTGTATGTGTTACATTTCAAATGTACTGAAAGTAAATCTCTTTGCTCATTGATGTTTCATTGTTACCTTATTTGTTTCCTTCAGTATCTTTTTGAGAGTATATATTTGATGTCACTTAGCACTGGATTTTGCTTACAGTTTTTGTGCTTGTGTTGCAGTTCCTGTGTCAAGCCTGTTCACATGCACGTCTGGTGGTAACAAACACAAGGAGACTCAACTTCAGCTCCAACGTAAGTTGCAAGAGAGAGAACTTATCAAGGAACAGAAGCGAAGACTACAACAACAGCGATCTGAGAATGAGCGTGAGAATGATCAGCTTCGTTCACAATCTCTTGGTCAATCGCCATCACCATTTCAATTAGCTGCAAAAAGTGCTGCTCGCAATATAACCAAGCTTCTACAGTCTCCTGGAGCCAGGGACAACTGTCTCAAGACAAGCCCCCATATTCTGCAGGAGATGGTGAAACCACAAGACAGAAAGTCTGGCGTGGAGGCTACAACAGACATTGATTGTAATGGCCACAGTGATATGGATGTACAGGCTGAGAAAGTTGGTGTAAGTGGAAGGCAAAGTGATAATGGCCAATATCATGTTGTCAAAAAGCCAGCTGTAAGGCCTGCAAGCCAGCTGGGAGATATTTCAGATAAGGCAATTCAGAAGACTGATGTTCAGATAGAACATAAATCAAAGCCTTTAAACTCTAATTCTGAAACAAATTCTGAAAATGGACACTTTGCTTTGCCAACAACTCCATCACGCAGTGCTTTTGTTCCTGTCTCGAATCAGCGGAAGGATTTTGGTTCAACAACCCATCCTAATTCAGGTTTAATTGACTTCATAGAGGAATCAGGAGAAGAGAAGCATACATTACTAACTGAAACTTTAGACGATACGAAGACTAACGGGAAGTCAAACTATTTAAAAGACATGCTTCAGAAAGAAACAAGTTCTGATATGAAAACCAGCAGCTCCCCTGTAATTGTCAGTAGTGAAAGCAGCACTGTCACTGTTCCTTCCTCACCTCAGACTCCTAAAAAGTCTCGAAGTCGCTTTACACCAATTCGCCCGAAGATAACACCAACAAAGACCGTATCATCGATCCTCAAGGACCACAAGAATGCCAATGGTGAGGGTCCTGCATATGACAGCAGACCTGTTTCAGCTATTCTGAAAGAAAAACGTGCCCGTGAAGCCCAAGAAATTTTGACTCAATTGGCAAGCAATGTTCAGCTGCAGAGTAGTCCTTTGCCTCATGGTATGAATGTTTCTGGACCTGTTTCCTCTGTTTCTTCAGATGTTCTTAAGTTGCCACTATCTGCGGGGAGTGGTTCAAATTCAAATGAGGTTTTCATTATTGTGGGATCGCCAAAAGCAGGAACATCTAAAGTAGGTAGTCAGTCAATCACAGTATCTCAAGGAGCATTTGACATGATGAGCAACTCCCAGTTTCCTCCCAATGTGACGGCACCGATGCCATCTTCAGTTCCACTAACTTTGTTGCTGGCAAAACAAGAAGAAATGCAATTTCAAGGTCATGGGAGATTGGACAGCAACTCACAGGATAATTCAGATTTATCTGATAATGGCAATGTCACGGACAGTGATATACAAAAGTCTGATGAATCTCAGGACATGATCATTTCAAGAGACACTGATACACCATCAGGAAGAAAACGTAAGTCCAGTGACAGAGATGTGGAAAGTAAAACCAAAAGAATGAACTCCATTGATGTAAGAAATGAAGAAGATGAAGTATTTCTTTCTCCTGGGGAAACACAGACGGCAATAACAGCTGTTCCAAACTCAAAAACAGTGTCTGTTTTGGTTCAGGCTGAGGCAGTGTCATGTGGCTATGAGAGTCGTGCATCTGGTGGCAAGCTGAGCGTTGAGAGCCTGGAGAGTGATGCCTTACTTGACAGTACACCCATGGCAGTGGACCAGGAGCTGGTTTCTTCTCTTTCAAAACCAAAACTTCTAACAAGTCAGACTGCTTCTATTGGCATTAGTGCTAAGTCAATGAGATCAACACAAAAACAACTTCTGCAACAGAAACTTCAGCTGGACCAGCGAGTCAGTAATTATCTCAGCAAAGGTAATAAAAGCAAGGAGATGGAGACTGTCGCACAACAACTGTCAGTGGTAGACAAGTCAAGGGTGGAGCAAATACTGCAACAGTACATTCAGCATCAGCAAAAGCGGGATGTAAAATCAAGTGTAGCATACCCAAGCAAATCAACACCAGTCCCTAATAATCAACCAGTCAACCTCTTGTCTTTACTGCAAAGACCTGTGTTTGATAGCAAAAAGTCAGTGTTGAGTTCTGTTAGCAAAACAAAGGAAATTTATCTGAATATTGAGAAATCGGGTCAGAAAATGTCACCTGATGAAAACGCCCAGCTAGTAGTGAACAAAGATTCTCCTCTTGTGAATAGCAATACAGTGGATATGTGTGAAGATAGTTCAGATTTACCATCAGATGTTGCAGATTTTATCACAGAAAATATGGCTGCCAGAGAAAATACAACTGGGCCAGTTAATCCTGCAAACCATCAAATGAAAGATCCACAAACCGCCGGGACATCTAACAAAGTGAGGCACTTGCTTCAAACAGACAATGCCCAGCATCAAGATGAATATGAAACTGATGATGCTGGTATTCGTGGAACCACCGAACAATTTACTGTTCCTTCCACCCCACCACCACGCCAAAAAGAGCTAGCCAGTTCTAAACCCAGGTTTGCAACTGTTCAGAGGAGTGCCTCTCTACCAATGTTTGCTCCACCTCTAGCCAATAATCAGTGCCAAACATCTCTAATGACACTTGGAAAAGGACTAGATATGCCAGCTCCCCCGAACCGAGTAATAGATTCAAGTTCACCACAGCCCTTGCATCAAAAACCAGCAACTCCCGTTAGTTTTACTAACTGTGTCCGTCAACTTTCTGGAAGGCAACGGCAAAATTCAATTGACCGTCTCAGTAACCACACTCCCATGTCAGATGCAGGTTACCATAGCTTCGATGCAAGTCCTGTGATGAATTCTACACCAATACCTCCAGTAGGAACAAGTGATAGTTTGATACATAATACCAGCAATACAAGTACAAATTCTGTGAGATCTGATTCAGCACAGAGCTTAGTTAATGAGTCAGTTGTTGTGCCAAGTCCTGTGCAACTTGCATCACCTCAAGTTCACAGTGCACGGTCAACACCCAGCTCAATCATGTCACCACAAATGGCATCCCATAATAGTATCAACACAAGCCCCAGTGAGACTACCACTTCTCCCAATTCGTTTATACCTATTCAGGGTGGACTGACAACAAGCTATTCAACACTTACTAGTCCCCAGTTGGTGACTCCCATCAAACCCCAGGTGACAGTAGCAGCGTCCCCCAGCACTGTGTCGTCATCGTCCTTCAGTAGCAGTATCTTGATGCAGCTTACATCCAATAATAACGGCGACTGCAAGTCCAGTCTCCTGTTCCATCACACACAGAATGACCAGCTTAAGCAGAGGGATATGAAGCAGTCTTCAAGTACCACAGATGTGAAGGTGGCAAATGGTAAAACAGGGGTTTTGCATAAACTACTCAATTCAAAGAGTTTGCCAAGTTATGAAGAGGCTGTACACCACTTGGGCAGGGGCAACTGTGATGACAATGGTACAAGTGGTACCATTGGTGTGACATCAGTTGCAAAGCCTTGCTTAGAGACAAAAGCTCCTCCACAACAGCCTGTCAAAAGTGTCAATGCCAGTAACCATGTGAATGTATCGCTTGCACGGTCATTAAGTTTCTCTGAAACTGATTTAAAGGTGAAATTAAATGACAGTGCAGATACCCAAGACAGAACTACAACAGGATCAGATGGAAGACACATCTCTACGAGTGAATACCCCTTCTCTTATCAACTTGCATTACTTAGAGAAAAATGTTTAAATCCTCCCGGAAAGGAGAATAAAAGTGAACAAGGTAATAACGGCAAAGGGCAATCCGTCCAGAGAATGTCAGCAGTGAACATAAAGCCCTCCGAACCTAAAACATTTTCAAATGGTAATTGTGCCAATGAATCAAAGGAGACCAAACTACCTGATACCCAGCAGGCAGATTCCACTGTTGAGGCGAAGGACAATTTCATTCATGGTAAAGCTAATGTGACACATCATCATTATGGCACTGCTGCACAGAAACTTTCATCATTAAACCAAAGCATGCCTGTGTCAAGTTCAAATGCACGACTGAAAGCGTCAACAACTGTGATAAAACCATCTGCAAGTCCAGCATATCCACGCACATTTTCTACTGGCTTGGTGCCTTCTATTCCATCCAGTGAACTGTCATCTACCAATAAATCTAGGCAGCTGGCACCAACAGCATTTGCTACTTTTGATTTACCAAATGTCAACTATATGGGTAATGCCCCCAATATTGACCTTGGAAGTATTCTGCAGGGCAAGCAGGGAGCAGGTGGAGGTCTTAACGCCACCGATAGTGCTGGTGGTGACCGGAGCAGATTTAGCTTGATGCAGGCATTACAGCCCACACAGACAATAAATGAGGAGGAGCTGCAGTCAACATTAGAGATCCTGCGCAGTCTAGACAGTCAGTATTTCTCTCAGTCCGACCTGGACCTAGACACCATGCAGCCCACCCTACAGCAATCACATCAATCTTCCTCTCAACATGAATTTCAGCTTCAGCTTCAGTCACAGTCACTTTCTGTTAACCCAGTAGATCAGGATGGTGATGCAAACTCGACTGCTTCCTCTGATATTCAAGAGCGGAAGAATAACATGAAGTCATTTTCAAATAATGTGTCCAGCAGATAACTGATAGCCGTTTTTGCTCACTTCTTTCTATCAAAGCAGTAATGCTGTTGATAACTCGATCATAAAACTTTATGATTATTAGGAGATGACAAATGCATGGCTTGTGTTCATCTTAAATTATTATGGCAATTATGTCATTTGTACATTTGTGTTAATCATATTGATAGCCACGTTGATGAACAGTGTGTTGTGTGTTTGGGAAACAGTTCAGATCTGTAGCTTGTCCAAGTCAATCATTCAGTCCCTGTTGTAGTATACATTTAAAATGTGTGTACATTTTGTGAAAATAACTAGCCAAACACATGCCATGGTACCTAGCTGATCAACAAGACAGGGTCACAGTATTGGACCAACAAATTATTGTTACTAATTCTATCTTATCAGTAGTGCATACAGTTGCCTTTTGTATAAACCCAACATTAAATGATCTGACAACCTGTCTAATCTGATGATACATTTTGATCCTTTGTAGATTTTGAAATCATCTTGTGTCCACAAACCACCTTCCTCCATGTACATATCTGTAAGATCATGTTTATGCTGTGCAGAACATACTTTTTCAGCTGATGTAAAGTGGAGGTCAAGTTTGTTGAAGTCATGGCCTGTTTGTGCCCAGCCTGTGGTTACTGCTGTCCACACCATTACTGCATGAAGCCAAACTTGACTTGGTTTATTCATGTCATTGTATCACGAGTGCGTAGATTTATGCTGGTGATGTCACTGGTTCGGACTTGATTATTTACAGACACCAGTCATATGGCTGGAACATTGCTTATCGCAGCAGTAAGCAACAGACAAAACAACATGTAAAATGCTTCAGAATGTTTAAAGAAAGCACATAACCTTAAAATTGAGTTTGGTTTACCTCTGCTTTGAACAATATTTCAGTAATGTCACTGTGTGTTATAATACTCAGGGTGGTGAGCTTAAAGGGGTGCAGGTCTCACATGGTCACCTGCTTTGTTAAACGATTAACACTGGCATAGTGCTGATAAACAAACAAACATAGTCAAATTAAAACCACAATCTATAGGGCTGGCCATCACAGAGATTAATAATTGTTAACTAAATATTGATCGATTATTGATAAAAATCAGATAAGTAACTTTGAGCAAAAATGCAAAAGAAATGAAAAAATTTCACACCACTGGTGAGTGGTACCATATTTAAGCATGAATCCCACACAAGCGTACTGAACATAATTTATTAGCAACACATGAATAAAAAACGATCTGTGTATTGTTTGACTAAATTAAATCTTTTTGTATTGCAAAAGCAACACTATTTTCATATCGATAATCATAATAATTTTTCCTATCAACGATATTTCCGATTATCAATCTTTTAAGCCAGCACTAACCGTCTGGTTTCTGCTATGTCAAAGGTACACCGCTCTGCAGAGCATATTGTGGCGTCACTGAGAACTGGATGATCCCTGGAAATGTTCAAGTAAATGACAGACCAACTATTTACTTGAGACATGAACAGCATCAAGCTTCAGCAAGAAGGCAGTGTCTCATAGAACGTCAAACATACATAACAAACCCCCAAACTCTCGTGCTTGGGTTTGCTTAGATGAAGGCAGACAATGTTTTCTCTACTCTCACACACGGCTGTTAGAAAGTAACAGATATATACTATTTGAAAACAGTAGGGGATATTTTGTGTTAGGTTGAAACTACATGAACAAGTAACAAGATATGGCAATGAAAGTAATTGATATATCATTTCCAAAAGAATTAGCTTCCCAAACTCAACATTGTATGCCAGATTTTACCATTGTGACCAAAGCTTAGTTTTGAGCAGTGGCATATAGTTTTCGTGGAACCAAGTGCTAAAAGTCGCTGTATTAAACGCATTTAATCATTAAAAAAATAACAGATTTTCATGGGGGGAAACGGGTCGGACCACTACCAAACTGCTGCTAGTTGCTCGGTCTCATCAGGAGATTACCAACTAACACAAGTGGATGATCAACAAAGCTCTGGGGGCGCAAGGGCGACAACTCCAGTCATCATCATCAAAATCTTTATTACGTGTGAAGGCCTCAGGCCCATATACATATTAATATACATATTCGAAACGGGAAACAGTTTCTTAAAAGATTTAGCATTTACCTGTCTACCTGAGTAGATTTTCTTACACCCCCAGTGAAAAATATCAGTAACTTATATATGTACATGTACAGCTGTTATGGATTTTGTTTAATAATGTTAATACCTATTTCTATTTTTCTAACTTTTCTCTTACTTTGTATGCATAATAGATAAAACGAGCTAGATTATTTGTTTAAGGATATTTCTAAACGATATTATATTTACTTGCAAATTCTTAAGCCAAATTCTATCCCGAAGATCTTTATAAGCTGGACTTTTCAACAAAATGTGATATTCATCTTCTAAATCTACTTTGCATGCAGGACAATTTCTTTGAGATACATCAATATTCTGCCACATACCTACGTTATTCTTTAAACGTAAGACACCAGCTCATAATTTGACCAATACTTTACGGAATTTATATTCCAAATTTGAAGACAGATACCCCTCAGGCTCAAGAAGACTCTTATATTTTGTACATAACGTATAACGTGAACTGTTTTCAAGAGGAGATGTCCAATTTTGGTAAAACATATTGATCAAGCGTTCTTTAAAAATGTGAATAAAAGCGCACGGATCACCGACAGCTTGTGAAAAACAGACAAATCCAAAGCCGTGTGAGCAAAGTATATGGCGGATCACAGACGTCCATGTGTGGTACCCAGCAGTATCTAGGTAGTATAACATATTATATGCCTTTTTCGGATATTCGTCAATCATACATTGTCATTAACTTAATCCAATATTTCATCGTTCGAACGTAGGAATTAATATAAACTGGAAACCGTACACACTCTCAATATACTATTGCATTTGGTGTCTGTGGACCGACATTTAAAATATTTTACATGCTTGTAAGTGAACTTTTTCAATGCTATCGTATCTTTTAAACAACAACCCAACCCCCCCAAAAACCACACCCCACCCACCCAACTTCTGACCCATACAAGTATATTGGCTGTCAAATATTTTTATAAATACTTCCAAAGGTATTGGTCCTAATTTCCTTAAATTTATAGTTAATTGAATTAAAGCCTTCTTACTACGAGCTGCAAGTTCTGAGACAGCTTGCCCGAGACTACAATTACACGTGAACACAAAACCTAGATCTTTGTAGCTGTTTACCGTTTCAATGTTTCTCCCATTATAAAGCCAGTTTTCCTTAACCGCTAATTTCCCACCTCTCCTAAAACAAGAACTTTAGATAAATCTAAATTTACAGTTAAACCCCACTTATCTGCATACGATTGTAAAAAGTCTAGCTGGCACTGAAGACCACCAATAGTATCTGACACAAGAATTACATCATCTGCAAACAACAACTTTAGAATTTCAAGTACATCTGGAAACAATTGGACCCCATGCTTACCATAATTTGTGATTTCTACAGAAAGTTCATTTATAAACAGAGAATAACATTGGACTCAACATACAGCCCTGCCGCAAACCAAATGGACAATTAAAATGTTCCGTTAGCTCGGATTATACTCTGATACACGATTTCACTGTGTTTTATATGCTCATATGAGCTTGTAACATTTTACGGTTTACGCCGTATGATGAGAGTAATTTCCAGAGTTTATCTCTATTTATAAAATCAAAAGCTTTTTTAAAGTCAATGAAAGCAACGTATATCTTTTTCCTTCTTCTACATAGGTTTTTCTCGATGATAGCATACAATGTGAAGATATGGTCAACAACTGAATAGCCCTTCTGAAAACCAGCTTGAGTTTCAGAAACTTTATCCATAAGGCCAGAGTTGACTGAAGATTCACTTTTGACTTCTGACCCATTGAGGAACTCTGAGAAGACTTTTCTGTTCCACTGCCTGTGGTTGAATGTGGCATGTCTGCGGACCCATCATAAACGTTGAACCTGATGAAATTAGTTCAAGATAGGGCCTGTGCATGGTAATGTTCACACCTTTGGTGCAGTCGATTGCTCATGGTTTTACCTGATATTCTGCCTTTGAACAGCTGTCTTCTGGTCCCCGCGCGCGCGCGTGCACGCACGCACGCACGCACACTTTGTCTCTCTCCTCAAGCAGCCTTTGGCGATTACCAAGCAAGTATGATGCACACAAGGTCTCAGACTCTTTTTTATACATTCGCGACCACAGACTATACAGCATTATGCCTACCCATGGCATGCTCACATTGCTGCTTTGTGAGGTACAGCTTGCAACTTAGATACGTTTTCCGATTAAGCAATGTCTGTGTACTGGCATCCCAGGTGCTTGTTTTTCAATGTTGTTGTTTTGTCACTTTAATTTGGAAAATGTTTCACGTTACTCCGCAAACCCGTCTTGGAACAGCATTGAAGTCATTGCCGTGTGTAAGGCACAAGAAACTAAAAGGAATGTCGCGAACTGGTGTCAAGTTTCTAATTTTGTTGTACTTATATGCACGTCAGCATTAATCAAGCACCACCCACTTTTTTATGTAAGGAGGACAGGAAGGCAGTCGGTATCGCCCCCGCCTAGGCTGGAGACACATCTGTAACAATCGAGAAAAACAGCAAATGATTTGGTCTCTAGAGCCCCAAATTGCATATGGCAGCAAATATAGACACACACAACCAGCATACATGCAAACACACATATGTTCTGTAGATTGAATAGTAGACAATACAGCCCCGCCATCCCAGGGTTTGGCCGCCGGCGTTGCTGTCTTCTTCGTCACCCTGTTGGCCTGTGTGTGCAGTTGTTCCAGATCGCCCGCACTACCTTCCAGACAAAAAAAATGCACTTAGGGGAAAGGTACGCTCACTTTTGGGCCAATTCTATCTGGGCATCCTTCTGGATATTGTCTAGTCAACATAGAAAGGATCTTTTTTGTTTTGTACGAAATCTATTGCAATAGTTGGTTGTTTTGCAGGATGTACAAATTTGTCTTCTACGCTATTGCCAACATGTTTGTATGTAGCTTTTGCACTCCCCATACACCAGGAACTGTTCAGGCTGTCAGTGTGGCGGGTTGGAATCTTTGGCGCAGATGGGTGATTCGAATCCAACGATCGTTGCGTGGCGTGGTTACGGGTGGATGGCCACTTCGGGGACGGTCTGCAACGACGGCGGTTTGTTCTTAACGCCCCCAGAAGCAGCACGTTGTGTTCCTGTGCACGTTAAACTGCTGTGCAACTTTGCGATGGGGTGTTCCGGTTTCAAGCATTCCATGGCTCACCATCTTTCATTTTCAGTTAGCCGTGGCATAGAGAAATGCAAACAGATTCTTCCAAATTTGTGTTTTTCCAACCCGTCGACGCCAAGACAATGATGTGGGTGACAATGATTCGAGGTTTTGAGCCACACCTTTTAAAGGGCACGTTTTATGCCTTTTTTCCACAGACTTCTTGAAAGCAGGAAAAACGCATGCGCAACAAAAACTACCGACAGTAGTAAGAGATAGAGTACATAAATTAGGTCTATGCTAAGACATACTAATAGGGAATATCACAGTTATTATTACATGAATTATTTATTTCTTACTTAAAAAGAAATTGATTTCATTAAGATACATAACAGAAAGTAGAAGTGCAGTGAATTTGTGGCGAATTATCAATAAGTTTGGAGAAAACGAACAGTAACAAACATCTGTACGAGAGCTATAGATATCTCCTGATCAAATCAAAGACACATTTGGCTCAGAACAGACACTGTATTTGTAAAGCCAAGTCAAACATTAGTAGTTGATCATGCACTGCTTCCCGAAGATAAATACATGAACATCACTGACATCAAACTTCCTATGCTCTTCAGTCCTGTCCATCTTTTTTTCCATTTCAGACATGTATCACAGTATAGCTTTTACTATGACTTGTTACAGTTGGCTTCACAAATGCACAAGGGGAGGAGGGTGAGGACAATAGCCCCGTTGTCCCTCCAAGATCTCCACCGCCATATACCTGGAATATTGCTGAGTGCGGCGTAAAACTAAACTCACTCATTCACCCTCAAAGATCTCGAGAGAAAAATGGGGAAGGCCAAAACATTCATCGTCCCCAACAGAGACATTCCACTGGTAAGAAACTGAGAGACTCAGTTCAGTCAATTCTGCAAACCTCTTCACGTCAGGAATGTTATATTAATGTTGTTTCTTTAATTTTAACACAACGAGACGGACCTGCAAACGCCAACATTCCCAGAAACCGTACCCCAAGAGCCAAGTACAGAAACCGTACCCCAAGAGCCAACATTCCAGAAACCGTACCCCAAGAGCCAACATTCCCAGAAACCGTACCCAAAGAGCCAACATTCCCAGAAACCGTACCCCAAGAGCCAACATTCCCAGAAACCGTACCCCAAGAGCCAAGTACAGAAATCGTACCCCAAGAGCCAAGTACAGAAATCGTACCCCAAGAGCCAAGTACAGAAATCGAACCCCAAGAGCCAAGTACAGAAATCGAACCCCAAGAGCCAAGTACAGAAATCGTACCCCAAGAGCCAAGTACAGAAATCGAACCCCAAGAGCCAAGTACAGAAATCGTACCCCAAGAGCCAAGTACAGAAATCGAACCCCAAGAGCCAACATTCCCAAGAGAAATCAACCCCAAGAGCCAAGTTCACAGAAATCGTACCCCAAAGAGCCAACATTCCCAGAAATCAGAGCCAGAAATCCAGAAATCATACCCCAAGAGAAATCGTACCCCAAGAGCCAAGTACAGAAATCGTACCCCAAGAGCCAAGTACAGAAATCGTACCCCAAGAGCCAAGTACAGAAATCGAACCCCAAGAGCCAAGTACAGAAATCGACCCCCAAGACCCCAAGAGCCAACAGTACAGAAATCGAAATCCCCCAAGAGCCAACATTCCCAGTCATACCCCAAGAAATCAGAAATCATAACCCCAAGAGCCAAGTACAGAAATCGTACCCCAAGAGCCAAGTACAGAAATCGTACCCCAAGAGCCAAGTACAGATTCCAGAAATCCCCCCCCAAGAGCCAAGTACAGAAATCGAACCCCAAGAGCCAAGTACAGAAATCGTACCCCAAGAGCCAAGTACAGAAATCGATACCCCAAGCGCTAACATTCCCAGAAACCGTACCCCAAGAGCCAACATTCCCAGAAACCGTACCCCAAGAGCCAACATTCCCAGAAATCATACCCCAAGAGCCAACATTCCCAGAAATCGAACCCCAAGAGCCAACATTCCCAGAAATCGAACCCCAAGCGCCATCAAGCCCAGAAATCAAACCCCAAGCGCCATCAAGCCCAGAAATCGAACCCCAAGCGCCGTGAAACCCTGAAAGTGTACACCAATCGCCAACAAACCCACAACACGAACTTGAAACACATGGAAATGGATGGACTGCCACAATTCAGTTCCGGACATTAGGTAATCCAAAATCTGAAGAAATATACACTATCATTACCTACACGGACCAATCAATCAATCAGTTTATTGCATGAAGGCCAGAGGCCCATATACAAAATAAATATGTATGATATGTACAACATATACAATATAAGCGCGTGAAAAATATATAGAGCTACCTTATATTGTAATAGGGATGCTTTACATGAAAGTATTGAATACAGTTTTGTAGCATTAATATTTGAATGTAGCCATTACGGAAAATACAGTTGCCTTAAATCATTATATGCAGGACAAAGAATAGAAAGTGTAATTCATTCTCTACAGTATTACAAAATGGACCGAACCTTTGTGATTTTATAATAGATGAATATCTTCCTTGATTGATATATAAATCATTTAGGCCAAGTCTCAGGGGTATGAAAACATTACGAAGCTTTTTACTACGTAAGTTGTATAGATACGACTCAGGTTCAAGTAAACTCACGATAACAATCATATCTTGAACTTTCATATAAAGATGAGTGCCAGTCTTGTTTAAAGATATCGATAGCCCTGGTATGAAAGTGTTTGATAAACTCATTAACTCAATATGAACGTCGCATTTCTACTACCAACGTAAGTTTAGATCAGTACATCCAGATGAAGCTGAGTAGTCAAGCGACATTGCACGATTGCATTGTGGGAATGTAAACATTGCGAACGTTACCGTGTCGCTGAAAACTTGTGAGTCGAATTGACACATTATAACCGTCGTAAAACATAAACGTAATGTTTCCACCAGTGATGAACCAAGAAACGGGATGCAACGGAGTAGTTTACTGTAGGAGGCCGTACGAGGCGATGACAACTGACATGCATCGTGACCTCGCTTACATTGTGACGTAATGTTAAATGGTTCGATTACGAGGGGGCACACTAGAATGGCGCAGTGACGGGATAACGTCATTCAATTGTTACGTCATCCAAAAACTATACCTTTATTGTCTGATAATGAATTTTTTTTTTTCGATTGTTCTAACCGCTCGGCATCTTAGAAAGTGTAATAAAGCACACTTTCGCCCTGAACTATTATAACGCTAAAGCACTCGGACGCAAGCGTCCTCGTACTTTAACTATAATAGTTCAGGGCGAAAGTGTGTTTTATTACACTATACATGGTGGTAGAGCGAACTGTATTTCTTAATTATAACAGTCACTTGAATTATCACTCTGCCATATATATCTAGTTATAGCATTCACTAGAATTATCACTCGACAAAAGACCTACGAATGAATTGGATTTGGTAATGTTCATTAATGATGCTTCATTTGACAACTTATCGCTGTTATATCTATCGCGAAGAAAGATGGCCCAAACCTATCTAAGCTCTATTCGTATTAATGAACTTTCCCTAAATGCATTTTCAATAGTGTCGACTCGACCTGGAAGGAGAGAGGCAGATGACAGTTTCACGTTCCGATGTGGTCTAGCCGATATTGCAGCATTACAAAGACGATCCTTCCATTCTACAATCACAACTCCATGTTTGTTTCGCTGGAGAATCGGGGGATGATTTTTTCGGGTTGAGCAAAGATATGTTCACAGCATTTTGTACTGGAGTATGTGATTCATACTTCACTGGCGAGCGATGTAAGGTGCCAAGCCTACTCTTCCACAGATTTAGGTGGAAGTATGAATCAGTCGGTTCCATCTTAACTCACTCGGTGGCAACGACAAGATGTCTGCCAGCTATGATCGCCACCCAGACAAATGCCACCTAGGACAAATGCCACCCAAATAAAACAATTAATAGAAAACACAAAATCATGTTTCTCAGATGTATTTGCATGATAATCCATTTTCATTTACACTCACGAGAACAAAATGACATTCATTTAGCTTTCATTATCATTTTGTTTTCATTTTTTCATTTTCAACAATAACAATAATAGACACAATAACAGATAACAATAATAACAATAACAGATAATAACAATAATAATAATAACAATAATAGACACATAACAACAGATAACAATAATAACAATAACAATAATAGACACAATAACAGATAACAATAATAACAATAATAATAACAGATACACAATAACAGATAACAATAACAATAACAATAATAATAATAGACACAATAACAGATAACAATAATAGACACAATAACAGATAACAATAATAACAACAATAGACACAATAACAGATAACAATAATAACAACAATAGACAATATAACAATAATAACAATAACACAATAACAGATAACAATAACACAACAACAATAACAATAACAATAATAGACAATAACAGATAACAATAATAGACACAATAACAGATAACAATAATAACAACAATAGACACAATAACAGATAACAATAATAACAACAATAGACACAATAACAGATAACAATAATAACAACAATAGACACAATAACAGATAACAATAATAACAACAATAGACACAATAACAGATAACAATAATAACAACAATAGACACAATAACAGATAACAATAATAACAATAATAGACACAATAACAGATAACAATAATAACAATTACAATAATAACAACAATAAACACAATAACAGATAACAATAATAACAATAATAGACACAATAACAGATAACAACAATAATAGACACTAGATATTTTATATCCAACATTGGCAATAGTCGCACTATTTAGCACTGAATACGTTATAAAATACTTTATACAAGATGTTGCATGTTTCAAACGTGAGCTCCATATTGACATGACGTTACGAGGCTACGTACACTGCTGGCACTGGCTCTCCCTGAGACGCTGATAGCAGCTGCTGTCAGGATCTGCTGGGCCGGTTCCTCCCATGTCTCTGCCCTCTCTCTGATGGTAGCTCTGATCTTCTGAAGCTATGAAAATATTGGAAATAGTAAAATATAGTAAACTGATACAAATAAAAAAGTAAAATGTAAAGTCTAGATGTTATAGATAAACTTACGGGCGAAAGAAACGTCACCTCGCTTTTTTAATATGTCACAAAACAAGGAACTCAGATTTTGGAAATTTAACAATCATATTGGAAAAGTAATGGATTTACAACATTCTGAATGATGAACGTGTGAACTACAGATATGAATAATCACTTAGTGTACGATAAAAGATATAAAAAAACCAACTTTGGTGACGTTTCTTTCGTCCGTGAGTTTATATAAAGTCAACATTAATAGGAAATACAAATTTTACATCAAAATCAACAGTCCAGATAGCACGTCGGTGGTGGGCCGTGGCCCACCGTAAGCTGTACTTTTGTAAGGTTAGATAACAATTTTGTGCAAGTCTGGATGTGCACAGACCCATGACAGTTACATTCGGACACTTGATGTAATTTCCATCGACTTACATGTTAATTTAGTGTAGCAAAAAATAATTTTCATGAATGTAATTTTCGTAAAATCTGAATCAAATTTTGCACATTTGTGAGGAATTATGTTACCTACAGTCACATAATATCTGTTTAACTTTCCGTTGCTTATTTATCTAATGGCAACAAGTTAATCAACATACATGTTATCAAAGTGAACACATTTTTAAAGAAACCAAATTATTCAAAGTCAACATAGTTTCTATATCAAAACTCAATAAATAATTCGGAACTAACAGTTTAATCACTGTTTTATTTAGCTATAATACTTCAATAACATACCTCTGACTGCACCTGGTCCGGGGCATGTGTGTGTTCGTGTAGAATGCCAACACACTGGTCATCCAATACATGTACCTTCATCGACACCTTACACCAAGGAGACTATATAACGTATCCCTGCTTACACGTACTCTCCTTATAGGCGCATCTCACAATGATAGCAATAAACAACACCACGCGAAAGTCTCTTGTGTTAACAGTAACGTTCAGTACTTAGCGGTTACTGTAAACATGATTTAGTTCCGAGTAGTAAATGTTCCGGTTCGGAATAAATGCCGTGAAATTGAGAATGGATGACACGAATAAAAATTCCGCACATACGGCAAATATTCCATCGAACAGGAACAAATACCGTAGGCCTAACCTATTCCAGTGATTATTGAATGCAAAAGGGACTAATCCAACTTGTCAACATCCGGGATGTCTACTAACTTCAACTTGGTTACATGTTGACTGTAACCTGGCTACTGACTAACTGTAACTTGGTTACATGCTGACTGTAACCTGGCTACTGACTAACTGTAACTTGGTTACATATTGACTGTAACCTGGCTACTGACTGTAACTTGTTACATGTCGACTGTAACCTGGCTACTGACTGTAACTTGTTACATGTCGACTGTAACCTGGCTACTGACTGTAACTTGTTACATGTCGACTGTAACCTGGCTACTGACTGTAACTTGGTTACATGTCGACTGTGACCTGGCTACGGACTAACTGTAACTTGGTTACATGTTGACTGTTATCTGGCTACTGACTAACTGTAACTAGGTTACATGTTCACTAACCTGGCTACCGACTAACTGTAACTTGGTAAAATGTTGACTGTAATCTGGCTACTGACTGACTGTTAATTGTTACATGTTGACTGTAACCTGGCTACTGACTGACTGTTAATTGGTTACATGTTGACTGTAACCTGGCTACTGACTGACTGTTAATTGGTTACATGTTGACTGTAACCTGGCTACTGACTGACTGTAACTTGGTTACATAGTGACTGTAACCTGGCTACCGACTAACTGTAACTTGGTAAAATGTTGACTGTAATCTGGCTACTGACTGACTGTTAATTGTTACATGTTGACTGTAACCTGGCTACTGACTGACTGTTAATTGGTTACATGTTGACTGTAACCTGGCTACTGACTGACTGTTAATTGGTTACATGTTGACTGTAACCTGGCTACTGACTGACTGTTAATTGGTTACATGTTGACTGTAACCTGGCTACTGACTGACTGTTAATTGGT